GTTTTCTGTTATTTTTGCGCTGGTGTCTCACTATGTTGACCAGGCTGGCTTTGAACTCCTGTGCTCAACAGATCCTCTTGTCTCAATTGCCTGAATAGCTGGGACCACAGATGCACACAGCATGCCAGTCCTAGAGTCTTTAAAAATGATAGCATCATCATGGCTTTACATGACCACAAGGTTGTTAGTGTGCAGTCTCTGTGGAGTTGGGCATGCATAAAGCAAATGACTTCACATATTAAGCTTTAAAAATGGAAGGGTACAGAAGACTTATCTCAAAGTGTTAAGTTTGTGATTCATATGAGAAGCCAAGCTTATCATCATGCCAAATGGAAAAAATTCAGATTAACAGAATTTTAGAATTAGAGGAAATTTTAGTGACACTCTTATGAACCATGGAACAATAAACTAATCTGGATTACAGTGAATTACTAAGATAAAGCTTTTGACTTTGATATCTTGATGTTCTTTAGTGTAACTCTTTTACTGTTATATCCTGTATTTCTTTCAGGCTGGCCCTTACTGCTATGAATAAATTTGAAGAAGCAGTTAGAAGTTATCAAAAGGCATTAGATCTTGACCCTGAAAATGATTCTTATAAATCAAATCTGAAAATAGCAGAACAGAAATTAAGAGAGGTATCTAGTCCTGTAAGTTTTTAATGTGAAATGAGTGATATATTTTCTCTTTTGAAACTTACTGAAATTTAACTGTAGTAGTTCGAATGATTCTTAGATCTAGCTCTTTTACAGACAGGAACTGGATTGAGCTTTGACATGGCCAGCTTGATAAATAATCCAGCTTTCATTAGTATGGTGAGTATATTTCTTTTCTGAGCTGTTGGTTCTGTTTTCCTTAGAGTGATATAAATCCAAAACCTTTTCTCTAAACATTTATTTATTTATTTAGTACAGGGTCTCACTACACAGCATAGTGATCCTCCTGTCTTAGCCTCCCCAGCACTAGGACTACAGGTTTGTACCGGCACACCTGGTTTTGGTGGCCAGCAGGGTATGTGGTACCAGGGATTGAACCCAGATCCTATGCATGCCAGGCATTTGCTTAGACTGTTGAGTTATCTGCCCATGCCTCTCCAAACTTTTTAAGAGGTGGAGTTTTGTTTTGTTGCTCAAACTAATCCCAACTCTTATTCTCAACTGGTCTTATTGCCTGAGCTTCCCCAGTAGGTAGGACTATATGCTTCAACTCTTAAAAACAATTAGGGGAGTTCCTGTCCTGCTGGTAGTAGTGAGGTGCTGATGGCAAAGCTTAAGGCAGACATTCTTCCCTTGTCCATCTTCCTCTGAAGGAAGTGAAAAATGGATTTCAGAAAGCTCATGGGTTTCTTAAAGAGGTGTATAAAAATCTGTGTATGGGTTGATATCTGCATGTTTCTAGGGATAAAACCATATTTTTCATCAGATTTGCACATGAGTGTGAAAATATGTAAAGGATTAAAAACCTAGTCTCTTACATGAAACTTGGCCTAGGAAGATGATCTAACAATTCTAATCTCTGTAATCCTCAGATCTACATCTGAGAATTGTGGCTATGGTAGTTCCCTACATGTGTCTTCAGTATTGTCTTCCTTGTTTTCTGTCTTAAGAGTTTATTTGGAACTGGGAGTGTAACTATAAAAAACTTATTTGAACTTTTCGTGTAAATTTCATATACATATTTTTTCAAATCAACAAAATAATATACTCTTGGAAAACATAGAGTGGTTCAGTATTTGGTAACTTTGATTTAGTGGGTTTAGGATGCTACCTGAGCATGTATTTTAGATAATAAATCTTCTGCCATATGCTGTGCCCCTTGATGGCAGGGATCAATTCTTTTTCATTGTTGTTTCCTTCAAATAAATGTGCCTTGCATCCATTAAATCCTCAGTTGAACTGAAATGCATAGATGACTTATTCCCAGTGAAATAAAGACATCTGTTGAACAATTGGAAACCTCCTCCCAAATCAAAGTTAGGCATCCTATCTACTTGCTAATAAACATATGCCTCTTTGTAAGTTCTATGACATTTTTTTAACCTGGTTACTTATTTCCAGGACTCAGTTTTCACTATTGTAGCAGCATGTGAAAATGGAATTCTTCTGAGTTTCAGATTTAACTTAAGCTTCAAGATTCTGTGTACCGAAATAAGGTGTGACCCTACTACATAGGAATTGCAAGAGATGAGGGTTAAAAACGGATTTAACTTTAAGGAAGGTCAGTGGGGCCAGGAAGATAGCTGAGTAGAATAAGCACTTTCCTAGGACCTGATTTCAATGCCCAGTTCCTAAAAAAAAAAAAAAATGAAGGTCAGGACTGAGGACATAGCTCAGTACATGCCTAGGTTGATCCCTAGCACTGGGGGATGAAAAAAGAAAAAAGGCTCAGGTTGATAGAATTAAAATGGGGCCTTGGGAGGGAGTGTTAGATTTCTAGAGCCTGGTCCAAGGTGAAGTAAAGCCCTGATCCAGGTGAAGGACGTGGGGAAGTCTGCCTTCATGTCAGGCTCACTGAAATGAAATATTTTCCTCTGCTTATGAGATCCCTATTCAATAGTCCCATCTCTCAAGAAGTTCCTATTTATTTATTTATTTGGTACAAGGTCTTTCTACACAGTTTGGACTCCCAGTGATGCCCGTCTCAGCCTCCCCAGTGCTGGGATTACAGGTGTGTGCCATCATGGCTGGTTTCTGTGGCTGGCACAGAGCGCCTGGGGTTCCAGGGCTAGCACTACATGTGGTACTGGGGATTAAATTTGGGTCCGTGCACTTGCTAGGCAGGCACTTAGACTAAGCTATCTCCCCAGCCCAAGCAGTTCTCTTTCAAAGTAGACCAGGGGGGAAGCTCAGTGCATAAGCGCCTGCCTGGCAGGCACAAGGTCCAGTTTGCTTTCCAGTACCAAAGTGGACCCTCACATATGTAGGAGATTCTTGCTTTATTTCTTGAGACAGAATCTCATTGTATAGTCTAGACTCTGCTTGACCTTTGTCTTAGTTACTATTGTTGTTGTTGAGACAAAATACCTAAAAGCCAAAGTTAAAGGAGGAAAGATTTATTGTAGCTCAGTTATAAAGGTTTCAGTTCATAGTTGGCTGACTTCAAAGCAGAGTGGCATGGCAGAGGGGCATCACTGAGGGATATGGTTCATAGTGGGGAGGCAGGCGACGGGGAAGCAGCAAGCAGCAGTAGCAGCACAAAGTAGAGAGGCACAAGACTTTCTCTTTTATCCCTTCCAGACCATTTGCCCTTTGGGTGGTGCTACCCAAACCCAGGAAGGGGCTTTCCATTATCCACAGCCAGAACTGTGTTTAACCAACCAGTGGACTAATTTATAATCATGCATTATTATTATTATTTTTTTTAAAATGTAGTTGGTACAGGGTCTCACTACTCAGTTTGGACTTATAGTGATCCTTCTGTTTTCAGCCTCCCCAGAGCTGGGCTTACAGGCATGTGCCTGGACTCTGGCTGGCTCAGCTCAACCTGCGGGCAGGGCCAGTGCAAGCATGTGGGGCGGAGGATCAAATCCTGGTCCCTGTGCTTGCCTAAGCAGGTACTTATTCTACCAAGCTATCTTGCTAGCCTATTAATCATGCATTCTTAAACCCAGTACCACACAGCCTAGAACCACCCAGCCCTGAAGGCCCCACCCATGAGTACAGGAGGCTTTGGGAGGACAGCCATCACAGTTTCCAGTGTAATCTCAGCCAGCCTCAAATCACAATCCTACTGGTTTAGTGTCTCTGCGGCTGAGATTAAAGGTGTATACTGCCATGTCTAGCATGAACACTTTTGTTTGGAAACAGTTTGATTCTCAAAGTGTTCAAAAAAATGTTGTTTCTGTTCACAGACTCCACATTAGGTGGCAAACACAATGGTTGCTATCTTCCCCAAATTCATAAAATGTATTAAGTTTGTGAACTAAGGTACCACTATGCTTTAGTTTCCATTTGATTTAATTCACCTGGTCATTAGTAGCATTCTTTCAGTGTCTTTTTAATGCAAGTTTTGTCAGTACCTATTTTATATTCACTTTTACAGTATTTTCTATAGCATATTATAACTTTGAAATGTGACTTTTAGAGTTTACTTGGGCTGGACTATTAAGTGTAAAAACAAAAAAAATAGATGGTTTAGTTTTTATTCTTTTTTAAATTTTTTTCCATAATTTTATTGAGAAGCAAATAGCAATGAGATAGTTTCAAATCAAATTGGTAGGACAGCTTCAATAATTAACACATTG